TTGTGATGTATCGCGACGCTGAGCTAGTCACCGAACGCCGAGTACCCAAATCAGATTTTTTTTCTAATCAAGAATCCGTTCGAAGCAGTCTTTTGCTAACGAGAATTCCGCCGCCTAATCTCACTCCGAATTTTCTCGCTGTCCTGGACGGATGCTCTATAAATCGTTGATCTTATTGTCTTTTTTTCGCGACTCTTTGTTAAAACGTTGTATCGTTCTCCGCCGACTGTCGCTTCTGATCGCCGGGCACGCCGACCAGCCGCCGCTCACGCACCTCGCAGCCGCCGTGAGATTCAACCGCTCGCAGCTCCAAGGAACTTTTCCCGGCGCTCGGATTATTTGTGAATTGGCTGGAATAAACATAGTTAATCGCATCCCGCCGCTGTGAAAGAGTTTTTTTGCACCCCGTCCTCTGCAGTCCGTTCCACTCTCTACCGCGCTTCGTGCGGAGCGGTCCCGGCGAACGTTCGCCACAGTTTTACGCGCGAACAAAGCTGACTTGCTCGATTTTGTGAATGAAAAATTTTTGTTATACAGTCTGCTTCTACATGATCTAATTTTTTGCAATAATTACAAGTAGGTCGATGAGGGTTATGGGGTTGATATAATTGTTCACGTTCTGTGATATCACGAGTGATATCGTAATTCGGCTACATATCTAGCGGTTGTTTCTATCGCGTCATTTAGAGACTGGAATTTTTGTAATAATAGATGTTCTCTAATTTTCCGATCGAGTCCTCCTACGAAATAAGTAATTAATTTATTTGTTGTGTAATTTTTTAATACCGTTCTTTCTGACTGGTTCGGATGATTTGCAGTTGCGAATATTAAATCTTTTTAAAGTTTTTTTGTTCTGTCTATATAATTTTCGATGAATTCATTTCTAGCTTGCCGTAATTTGTTCGCTTCTAATTCCCACTGTTCAACATTTTGACTTTTATTAAACTCCTTCTCTAATGCAGCACATAGCGCGTCTAGATTATCAAAAGTATATATTAAACATAGTGCCCAGCTTCGCCTGTTAATTTGACTTGTAAAACCGCTCCAAAGAAAAATTCTCTATCATCCGGATCTACTAAACTATAGACTCCTTTACAATCAGAGGTAAACTGATTTACGGGAATGTTTTTCCCGTCTAATATGGGTATGAGTGCTAATGTTTTGCGGACTTAGAAATAACTATTATTAGAGGCGACGGAAGGTCTACGATTTTGATTTGGCCTACTATTAGATTCATGCATGTTGTGTTCCATTTTATGCTTGTTTTCGGAAGGGATATCGCTGATTGAACTCGATTTCGAGCTATCCCTATGATAATGCAGCGCTTGTTCGCGAAATGGGTCATAGTCCATATGCTTACAAAACGATAAGATACATGTCGATTCAGTAGCCGCTGATGATCCTCGGATCTGGTTAGTTGGCATTTTATCGTGTTGGTCGTCCACGGAGTCTCACGGGGTTGCACAGCCGTTGGTCGGTTGAGCTGCTGCTGTCTGGTTCTGTCACCTTTTTCCTCGAAATTCGGTCGGTTGATCGGTCGACAGGATCTCAGCAGTCTCCGATTGCAGTGCGCTCGTCTTGACTTGTATCCACTAATTTGCAACTGTCCTTGATTTCAGGCTTAGCTTGCAAATAGCGAAGTTTTCCTCAATCCAATTGTTTTACAGCTATTGATGCGGCTTGGCTCGTTAATAGTCTGTCTTCTTCCTTAGCGGGTCTTTGGGTATGTCAATTTCTTCCTTATAGTATGTACTCGGTCTTGCTACCGGTTTTTAACTTTACCGCTGCCACCAGTTGTTACGGTCGTCACTATGTATTGCTGCGCGACTGTAGTTGAGGAAGGAACCGCCAAATAACACTTAGACTTCGACTGTTGCTGTGGTTTATTCGTATTTCTAAGTCGAGTGTACGTTGCCGCTCGTATGCACTGACGTGGATAGCTTGAGGATCGGCTTGGAACTGACGGAGAGCTAGCGTGAAATTGAGGACTGCAGGACTGGGACGGTTTTTATAAGATGTAGGACAAAGACGGTAATTTGGGGAGAGTAAAGGTAAAATTCTTGCGAGGGTAGTCATGGTAAATAACAGCTTGGTAGGAATTTAGGAGCAATCTATCAATATTATTTGTTTAGGAATAGGTAAGATAAGTCTGGAGGAACATGCGTCATCATCGCCGTAGCGATAGTTTGTATAAGATAATACAAAATAAATATAAAAATATATGTTGCGGCACGTAACAGACCGCGACGCGGGATTCCGGCGGGACCGGTAGCTCTGCGAAAAGTTATAGTCGGCAGACGGGATGGATTCGCTTAGAAAACGGAAGGGCCTGAGAAAGAAAAGAATGCGGCCTTCTTATCAGTATTACAATTTATTCGAGTCGGTACGCTCCGAACGGGCGGTACGCTCCGAACCCCGCGGGCGGGTACAAATTCACACCGCTCTCTTCCGCGAGATCGATACTGCTCGGCGCACACAATTAATTTCTTGGAACGCGACACATAAACGGAACACCGAAAAATTGCAGGTGGACGGTCTTACATATTTCGGGAACCTCCCGGCGGCGTAGTCCTGGCGGGTCGTCGGGCAGGTCGCTCGGTCACTCCTCCACCGGACGAGACGTATATCGGCCTTGCCTCCTCTGTTCGAGCGGAATACGAGATTAACTTCCTAGCAAGCGGTACACTAAATGTCTTTTCTTCTCGGAAGCGGAACACAACTCTTAATTTTCTCAGCGATAACGAATCTGAGTTCTTGTTGCGATAAAGCGGATCTCGCTTTCTCTCGTGAGCAGAACACCAACCAATCTTTTTCCTTCGAGAAGAAAAACGAATTTGAATCTCTCTCCGCAATCCACAAAAATGGATCTTCTCCTTTCTTTCGGCTTCCTCGTCTTTTTCGTTGTTTTGGGGAGGGGTTCCTCTCTCCCCGTTCCTCTCCTGTTCCGGCGGTACGGCAATCCTTCCGTGGATCTTTGTTGTCGATCCGCGGAACGGATGCTAGATCTTGCTCTCTCTCTCTCTCTCTCTCTCTCTCTCTTTCTCTCTCTCTCACTCTCTCTTTCTCTCTCTCTCTCTCTCTCTCTCTCTCTCTCTCTTTCTCTCTCTCGTTCGCTGGCTCCGTATGTCTCGCCGCGGTTTTTCGGCGAGCGGGCCACGCGTCGGGAACGTGCTCGTCGGTATTTCCTGCTTCGCTCTTTCCTTGTTGTCCGTGTGGCCTGTATCATAACAAATACGGCAGCGGTAATTCTTTTCGAGACGATACTTCGATAATTCGTTAATCGGAAAAGAGAAAAGAGAGCAGTCACGTGCCTGGCCGCGGGCGATGTCCTCTTCATCCTCCCAGTTCCTCCGGTCTTGGTGGTCGGCTCGGGAGGTCCAGGGATACAAAGCTTGGGGCGCAAGACCGTCACACCTGCGCGCTCTTAACTCTAATTAGGTGACATTAATTTAGATTAATCCGCAGGGAGTCAATTCGGACTCCCCCCTTAAATCCCGCGCGATAATCTCTTTCTCCCCTGTGCGTCGTGACCGAAGGTTCGCACTGGGACGGGCGCCTCCACGGCCGCCTCGTCACAGAACATGTTATATTGCATGCTATATTCTGTTATATTACAGTAATGTCACTGTTATATAACTGTGTTTTCTGGGACCTGCACCAGATGGAAAGTCAGTCCGCGTCCCCTCCTGTCTATCATTTCCGGTAGACAGGGGCGGACAGCCTCGGCCGTCTGGAGCCCGAATCCCTCGGGGTCAGCCAATATGGCCGACCACTTCTCAAAGACCCGAGCTCTGGCCTGGAGCTTCAGGGCCGCCAGGTCCCTAGCCGTTACCTCCTCCCCCTCTTTGCGAAACTCCTTCACCCTCCAATAGAGAATATGTCTCTCATCGACGAGGAGCTTCACGGGTGGGGAGCCGGCCAGAGCCGTCGCCGCCCTATGCGACACAGTACCGTACCCCCGAATCGCCCTCACCACCACCGTTCTCACGGCCTGACGCATACGGCCTAAGCGCGTATTTTTTACAATGGCGGTTAACCGTATTTTTGACGGTGGCGCCCCGTAGAGGGCGATCGAAAGCACGACACCCAAATAGAGGCGGTGAGCGTTCCAATCAGGGCCTCCCCGGGTCCACATGAGGCCGACTACTGCCAACTTTGCCTTGCGAACCCGGGGGGCCAGGCCCCTAAAATGTGGCCCGAAGTTCCAACGGCTGTCCAACCCAGATATTTTATCGTGGGCCCGACGCGAACGCGGACACTGTCAACTCGGACCTGGGACCCCTTCGGCGGCACCCCTCGACGAGGACCATGAAAATATATGGCCTCCGTCTTTTGGGGCGCCACTTTCAGTCCTAGGCCCTTGATGGTGCCCACCACCGATGCCACTGCCGCCTTCGCTCGGAGGCGAGCTTCCCCCAGTCCCCTCCGCCTCCACTAGTGTGTCATCTGTATAGCGGATGACGTGGCAGCCCGGGAGGTGGGGAGAGCGAAGCACCTTATCGAACATGATGTCCCATAGCAGGAAGCCGAGAACCGACCCCTGCGAGATACCACGTTCCATGGTGTGCCGACCTTAGACTCCGCCTCTCCCCGAGAAGGCGAGGTCCCTATCCCTAAAGTAGGCTGATAGGATTCGCCGGAGATAGAAGGGCACCCCGTGATACTCGTGGACCCGTCCAATATTCGGCCAGGGCAGGGTATTGAAGGGATTGGTTATGTCCAAGGACACCGCCAACAACACCCCGCCCTCCTTCACAACCGTTCAGGTCAGGTCCCGGATGCGCTGGATTGCATTGAGCGTTGAGCGCCCGGGCCTGAACCCGAACTGCATGTCGTGGAGGTTCGGCCCCTTTAAGAACAGATGCTGGACGAGGTGGTCGGCAATAATGCATTCAAGCACTTTACCCGCCTCGTCCAACAGGCATATCAGCCTGTAGGCCGACGCACCACCCGGTGCTTGCTCCCCTTTGGGAGGAGGACCAACTTGGTCCTCCTCCACTCTAGGGGGAATACCCCCTCCTTGAGAAAGCCATTAACTCCCGCATGGCAGCGGACAAGTTCCCCTCGCCGAGGGCGAGAGTCCAGGCGCGGCTAGGAATCCCGTTGGGGCCAGGGGCTTTGCCTTTGGCCCCGAGCTTCTTCCTGGCCCTGGCGAACTCCTCTGGGATGACTTCCAGGTACTCTGCCCAGTCCCCATCCTCCAGCTCGGGGACAGGGATCTGGCGGGGCCCCCTTCCACTCTCAGAAACAGAGTGTCCAGGAGCCCCTCGAGGGCCTAGGAGTCCATGATCTCCGTCGGTGGGGGCGCCCACGGATGGATCTTTCCGATCGTCCGCTTGTATGGACGCACCCAGGGTCATCGTCCAGGGAGTTCACCAGTTGCTCCCACGCTCTTTTCTTGGCCTCAGCGATGGCGGCCTTGAGGGCTTCCCTTGCTTGGAGATAGCCCTCTTTTTCCCTCGCGGCATCTCCGCCTCTCCATCGGGCCCGGGCATACGCTCGTCTGGCTCGGACGGAGGCCTCTCGTAACTTAGCGATGGCCTCCGTCCACCAGTAAGCGGCCCGGCGGTGGCGGGAGTTGGACCGGAGCATCGCGGCGTCGCAAGCCGATGCCATGACGCGCACCACTTTCTTAGCCCCCTCCTGGGGGCTAAGGTCCCACTCACCTGGCCCCTCAAGGTGCCAGGTGGCCATGAAGGCTGCCGCCCGGAACTTGTCCACGTCCAGTTGACTGAGGACCCATCTCTTGGGGAGGGTAATGCTCCCCTCCTCTAGGCGGCAGTCCAGCACCCGCTTTTGAAGGGTGGGGAGACCGAGGGACCACACCACGTATCTATGATCCGATAGTATCTGAACCTCGACCTCCACCACCCACTCCCCGAATATTCGGGCAGCCGAGAGAGAGGCCCATGTCATGTCAATGACAGACTCCCCCCCTCGGCCGCACGCAGGTGCTGATCGACCACTTATTCATCAATAAGAAGCCGAGTCCCGCCGCCCAGTTGACCAGGGTCCCGCCCCAGGGATCCTCTTGCCTGAGACTGCAACCCCACTCCGTGGAGTTGGCGTTGAAGCCCCGGCAACTACGACGGGCCGGGGGTGGCACTGCCGTCTCACATCTCCGACCCGATCGAGAATCCCCTGGATGTAGGCGGGTTTCCCAAGCCCAGCCCTATTTTGGCGGTGAGGGAAATACACCCCCACCACCGTGATGGGTCCCCAATCAGCCGCCACGAACGAGGTCCCCCTTACCCTACAGGGGGAGACCTCGTTGCGGGATTGGCTACCATGGCCATCGAGCCGCATCGGCTCCCGAACCAGCAGGGACTGCTTATCGGGATCCAATGCGGCTCGGTGCCCAACCCCAGCCCGGCGCCCTGTTCCCTCATCCTGTGTGTGTATACAGGTCTTGGGCCCCGGCGCCGCGGCCGAGGTTGGCCTGTAGGACCCGGAGTGGCGTGAACGCTAAGCCTTCTACGCCTCCTCCGGGCTACCCACCTCTGCCTCCTCAGAGGGGACCTCTGTCGGAGTGAATTGTTCGATCTCTCTAACTCAGTTTTCCCCAAGGCGGTATCGGTCATGGTGGCTACGGTCTCTGGCGTCTCTACGGAGGCGCTGGGAGACCGTACTTCGGCAACCCCTTCTTCTGGGGAGTATGAGAGGGGATCTTCTGCCGTGGGAGGCGGATGTGGCGCGCCTTCCGATTCCCTTTCTCCTAGGGTTGTTGGGGGTGGGACATCTGCCTCCACCCGCCTCACCTCCAGTGCTTCCTCTTCTATTGGGGAAGAAGAGACCTCCTCCTCCTCCCTCGCCACCGTCGTAGTCCTTGGCGGTTTCGCCTTCCTTTTGGGCCTCATCGGCTTGGGCTCCTCCGGGCTGATATCGGTGATTCGAGCCTCTATCTCCATTTTGTCCAGCTTCGCCCTTGCCGCAGGGGAGGCCGGTCTGACCTCACTCATCGGCTCCTACGACTTCCCTATTGGGGGGCGCTCCCCTTTTCCCCCTCAGCTGGTCCGTCCGGCCTCCTCTTGTCTCCTTTCTTCCTCTTGCACCTGGGAGGGGGTCTGCAGGCCGGTCGGCCTGCCCGCTTCTGCACATACAGCGCAATATGCTACCACCTGCTGACATTCAGCGGCGCGGTGGCCGGGGTTACCGTAGCGGTAACAAAGACCACTACGTTCGACGGCGCTGGTGCACCGCTCGCGCATGTTGCCCCGCTCCAAGCAGCAGTAGCACACTACTGCGCGAGCGGGCAGCGCAGTCACTCCGGCGCGGGTCCAGCCTACCTGGACCCGCCCCGCCGCTGCGACCCTTGCGGCCGCAGCCTGCGAGCACCGCACCACTACTGCCGCTGTCCCTCGTCGGGCGACATTAAGCCCGCCCACGGAGATCTCCGTGAGCGAGCATCCCCTGACGAGGGCCACGGCGGCCACGGCGGCCACGGCGGCCGTCACCTCATCGACCCTGGTCGTAAGGTCCAGGCCAGTGAGTCTCAACGAAGCGATTCTCACCGGCCTTTGGACTCTATAACCATGAAAGAAGGAGGGCGTACAAGGTGACGACGGGACACCGTGCGTTCGGAACCTGCATCTTATTTTCGTTCCGAAGAGAGAAATATATCGAGAGCGCGGTAGTCGCTAGACCGGGAATCGAACCCGGGTCTTTCGCTTGCCGGGCGACTACTCTAGACTACTAAGCTACCTGACGCTCCACTCTCACGACATTCTCCTCTCCTTAGGTGGAGTTCCTCCGCCGGTTGGCGGCTCTAGCAGTGTAGCTGAAAAGAACAGACCAATAGAAAGCGTAATACAAGGAACGGTATAATAAACAACATTTGACGACCCGCTGTGACTAAAGTTAGTCTGATGTTATATTTATTCCTTGTGCATTTTCTTTGTTTTCCTGCAATAAAAATAAACTTGTATTTTTTTGTAGAATAATAGAAGTGTGATTTGTGTATTATATTATGTGAGAAATAACCAAGGCGCCACCACCACACATATACATACTGCACAATCATTTTTAGAGGTTAAACAATATTACTTTTAAGATTATTGTTAATATGAAACGTAGATTCTCTAAAGCAACACTATATAGAAAAATAAAGAGAAGAACCGCAACATGTTTAGATTTATCACAAAATTATTCAAGTGATTCTGATAATATATCAATGTAATCAATATATCAATGTAATACTAATAACAATATTTCAGAACTCAATACAACAGTCATGGAAAATATAGAATTGCAACGTGATAATAGTAAAACACACTGTTCTAATATTTCAGATTCCTTGGATAATTTTGATGATATTACAGAATGCAATGCTTCAATAGATCTGAGAGTAAATGTAGGAAAAGATAATGAAAATAATTTTATCAATAAGTTACGATTATGTGCAATATCGTATAACATTTCACATTCAGCTTTACGAGATGTTGCTACAATTATTAAACTCAGAAGTTAATATTTGTGTGCCTCTGGATACCAGAACTTTGCTCCATACTCTTCGATACATATCCAGCAAACCTGTAGATTCAGGCAATTATTCACACATTGGAGTTCAATCTGCAGTTGAAAAGCTTATCAATTTGTTAGAGGAACAATCACAAAAATTAAATTTATTAGTTAACATTTATGGTTTACCTCTTAGCAAAAGTTCTAATACTCAAATATATCCGATATTATCCTCGATACATGAATATCTTCAATATACAGCGTATCCCATTTTAAGTGTCCACCCCAAATATTTCTCTTATTTTTTATTTTAGAGAAAAATGGTTCAGACACATTTTATATGGTTTCGAGGGGGCCATAAGATGGTACCATTGATTTGACCTTGAAGAGTCATTTGAGGGTCACGTGAAGGTTAATTCAATTTTTTTAGATGGTACCCCCCATTTTTTATTACATATTCTTGTAGCTGACCTCGGGAGCTTCCCAAAACACTATAATCAAATGTTTTTTGGTGAAGTGCTTTCCGAGTTATAAAGCTCCAAATTTACAAAATTTTGATAAAAATACAAAATATTTCGTAAAACATTCACTTTCCGATAGTCTTATCTTACATGATCCAACCAGTCAAGGCAAGATCCGAGCATGATCCAGCCAGTCAAGGCAAGATCCGAGCATGATTCAGCCAATCAAGGCAAGATCCGAGCATGATTCAGCCAATCAAGGCAAGATCCGAGCATGATCCAGCCAGTCAAGGCAAGATCCGAGCATGATCCAGCCAGTCAAGGCAAGATCCGAGCATGATCCAGCCAGTCAAGGCAAGATCCGAGCATGATCCAGCCAGTCAAGGCAAGATCCGAGCATGATCCTGCCAGTCAAGGCAAGATCCGAGCATGATCCAGCCAGTCAAGGCAAGATCTGAGCATGATTCAGCCAGTCAAGGCAAGATCCGAGCATAATCCAGCCAGTCAAGGCAAGATCCGAGCATGATCCAGCCAGTCAAGGCAAGATTCGAGCATGATCCAGCCAATCAAGGCAAGATCCGAGCATGATCCAGCCAGTCAAGGCAAGATCCGAGCATGGTCCAGCCAGTCAAGACAAGATCTTCTTTTGTGTACTTAAAGTGTTCAAAAACTTGACCATTTACTTGTATGTATAGCTCTAATCTATGGTGAAAGTCATAGCTAACTTTTTCAAGAAGTCATAGCCTAACTTTTTCAAGAACACCTACCTTAATTTTTGCAAGTCTGTCTGATCCGGTTTGTCATATTTTCAACGGTTGTAGGCTTTTACGAATAAACTATATCTCTAATGTAGCCCCAGAAATAAAAATCTGTCAAGTCGGGTGATCTTGGGGGCCATTTTTGAACTCGGCTTTCCATACCAATCCACCTATTTGGAATCTATTGTTTAAATATTATGTAACAGCTCGAGATCTATGAGCCGGTGCTCCATCTTGTTGGAACCACATTCATTTGAATAAATCATTGTCGACATGTCTCAAGAGGTTGGGCAGGTCATCTTGAAGAAATCTTAGATAGGTTGCCGCATTGAGATTTTCTTCAAAAAAATATGGACCAACAATAACATCTCCCAGGATGCCTGTTCAAACGTTAATGGACCACTGTCGTTGGAACTCTTGACTTCTCTGCCAATGTGGATTAGCATCTGAATAATAATGGCAGTTATGTCTATTAACGCCTCTCCCCCGTGGAAGTCACCTTGCCGTGGTGGGGGAGCTTGCGTGTCCCTATGATGTACAAAGCTGTGCCGGCGGGGGTTTTGGCCCCTGGTAGGTTCTACCATGCCGGAGTGGTCTGTACTGAGGGGCCAGACTAAGAGCGTCCATAATACTCCTGGATGGGCAGCTGCCTCCAGGTTTTAAACAGGGTCTGTAAGGTCTCATTCGTGGGTTCCAAAGGACCTTACAGCGCGGGCAGAACGGGCTCGTGAGCCGGGTGAAGGCAACCGTTCTAGGGGAAGGTAAACCCTGACTGCAAACCTGTACTTGTCAGGACGTATAACCTGACACAATTGCGAGGTGCCAGGGTGCTTCGGCACTCCGGTACAGGGGATTCAGGCAACCCCGGCAGACCCTAGCTTACCACACCGTAACTCTAGGTCATGTCTCTGGGGTCGGGGGTCTTGCCTTAATTGGCCGGACCGCGAGGCGGGTCCTCTATAAAACACCACCTAATCCTACGGTTGAGGCATGCCACGCTTATGGGATGAATGGCAGGTGCGTGACCTGTCGCTAGTGGTTCCTCACCTTGGGCACCTGGCGAACCCAAGGGACACGCTAGCCTTACCTCGGGTAATGCGAGGGCTCTACCCAAGGTCGACGCCCACTTCCCGCCGTACTCGTGGGAGCAAGGTGCGATCTCATTTAAAAAAAACAAAATCCTTCTCAGAGTCTTCGGACTCAGAGTCCCGAAAAGGCGGGTGTAGCAACCCGCCTAAGG